TGGGCGACAGAGTGAGACTCTGTCTCAAAAAGAAAAAAGAAGACTTGAGACGGGGAGCCTGGCCGGTAGACTCTTGGAGTGATATACAGGTGTAGTAGAACAACTTGAAATGTTATTGGGGAACAACAACAGCAACAGCAAAAAACCTCAATGAGTGTTTATAGAATGCCTATCTTTTTTTTTTTTTTTTTTTTTTTTTTTTTGTAGAGACAGATAAAAAAAAAGTGTCTAACAAATGTTTCTTTACAGATGCAAAATTGGTTTTTTTTTTTTTTTTTTTTTTTTTGAGATAGAGTCTCGCTCTGTCGTCCAGGCTGGAGTTCAAGCAATTCTCCTGCCTCAGCCTCCCGAGTAGCTGGGATTACAGGCGCCCACTACCACGCTCAGCTAATTTTTTTTGTATTTTTGCTAGAGACGGGGTTTCACCATGTTGGCCAGGCTGGTCTGGAACTCCTGACCTCAAGTGATCCGCCCGCCTCAGCCTCCCAAAGTGCTGGGATTACAGGTGTGAGCCACCGTACCCAGCCCTATTTTTCATTTTTGTAAGAGAAAAAATAGCTAATGCAGAATTGAAAAATTCCTAACCATTAAGGTTATGAGACACTAAAATAGAGTATCATCTTATGCAACTTATTCCCCAGACTGGAAGTCTGGTTAGTGACAAGAGGAATGAATGAAATAACCTGCTAACGTTTCTTTCAGGTCAGGGACCCGAGGTTTATACTGACCCCCTCTCCCCACCTCCCTCACACCTTGACCTCTGGTCCTCTTGTCTTTGGAGGTTTTCACACCAGACACTGCAGCAGACACCCATGATAAGTACCATGACTCCAATGAGTGCCCAGGGCGTCCAGGCAGGCGTCCGCTCAACAGCCATCCTACCTGAGCAGCAACAGCAGCAGCAACAGCAGCAACAGCAACAGCAGCAGCAGCAGCAACAGCAACAGCAACAGCAGCAGCAGCAGTACCACATCCGGCAGCAGCAGCAGCAGCAGATCCTGCGGGTAAGGCACTGGGGAAATTTCCTCTGGGACCTGGGAGCCCAGGGAAGAGGAGAGGCACAAGTTCTTCCCACACAGTTACCAAGACTAAACGAGGCAGTGTATCAAAACACCTAGCAGAGCAGCTGGCCTCTAGTGGTGCTGGAGAAGTTAGTTTCCTACCCTCCCCCTTTTTGTTTTCTGGGAATCATAGTAGGAGAGAGTTGGACATTGTCCACTGGGTACCCTAGATTTGGTTTCTTTCTGGGCAGCTGTCTAAAAAGGGAAGGCAGTAGACCCCGAGCTCCCACCCTGCTTCCTCATCCCCTGCCCTCAGCCCTCCAGTTCTGAGTCTTAGCTTCCTCCCTCTGCTCCTTCTGAAGTATCTTTTATGTTCTTATAGCAGCAGCAGCAGCAGCAACAGCAGCAGCAGCAGCAGCAACAGCAACAGCAACAGCAGCAGCAGCAACAGCAACAACAGCAACACCAGCAGCAACAGCAGCAACAGGCGGCTCCTCCCCAACCCCAGCCCCAGTCCCAGCCCCAGGTAGCTACTGGACTAGAGCCCCAGGCTCAGGGAGAACTGCCCAGGTTGGGCATGCAGCCAGTGAACTGGGTTGGGGACAGTATGGAATAGGGTAGAAGTGGGAGGCAGGGCATGGCACCCTAAAGAGGGATTGGGAGGCCAGGCGCGAGGCTCACGCCCGTAATCCCAACACTTTGGGAGGCCGAGGCGGGTGGATCACTTGAGATCAGGAGTTTGAGACCAGCCTGGCCAAGATGGTGAAACCCCGTCTCTACTAAAAATACAAAAAAAAAGCCAGGCATGGTGGTGGGCACCTGTAATCCTAGCTACTTGGGAGGCTGAGGCAGAGAATTGCTCGAACTTGGGAGGCAGAGGTTGCAGTGAGCCGAGATCACACCACTGCACTCCAGCCTGGGGGATGGAGCGCGACTCCGTCACAAAAACAAAAACAAACGGATTGGGAAAGGAGGTTGAAGAAGGAGAAAAGTTAGACTTCAGTCTTCCACTTCCTATTTCCACCCAGTTCCAGCGCCAGGGGCTTCAGCAGACCCAGCAGCAGCAACAGACAGCAGCTTTGGTCCGGCAACTTCAACAACAGCTCTCCAGTAAGCCTGCCTGCCTTCCCAAGGAGAACCCCATGGAATAAATTTAGGGGGCGGGGTGGGCCAAAGTAGCTGAAAAGATGGCTTCAGGCCCAGGTTATGAGAGGAGGCATTCCATTCCATCCCCTTCCCTTGATACCTGAACAGCTTTCCTCGTGCATACCCACACCCCTGCCTGGTCTTCCATCCCTGATAATCTCTGGTTTTTCACAGATACCCAGCCACAGCCCAGTACCAACATATTTGGACGCTACTGAGCCACCTGGAGGAACTGCTTGTGCACTGGATGTGGCCCCACCCTTTCCTCTTAATTCCCAATCCCGTTCCTGGGCTAGCACCAGTAGTGGTTGGGGCCCTTCCCTCAGGCTCCGTTTTTAATAAGTTTTTAGTATTTTTGTTAATGTGAGGCATTGAGCTGTTGGGTTTTGTATATTATTTATATAGAGACCCCAGAGCTGTTGCACCCAATACACAGAGCTTCTTTGCAAAGGGAGTGTGTGAGTTCTGCATGTCTGGGAAGGGTGGTCTCTTGGGAGAATGCTGGGGGCTGGATCAACAAGTCAGAGTCTTCGTTCTATTCCAGTCATCTCCCCTGTTTATCTTACACTCTAAATTTCTTTTTTTTCTTTCTTTCTTTCTTTTTTTTTTTTTTTTTTT